CGCCAATTGGCGTGCACCCGGAATGAAGAGGCACATCTGAAGCCGCCAAACGGCCATTGGCCAGGCGGCTAATGGTTAAACTTGTTGCCCATGGGAATATATTTTGCAGTGTGTTCACATACAGTCTTTTTCAAGAATTCCTATTTCTGTGTTGTGTTCATTGATGCCAAAATTCCCTCCCAATCTAAGTCTTGGAGAGCAGCCCTCAGCCTTGGAAAATTAGCTCTCTTAAAATTGAGCGTTTTTATTTTTGCCGTTTTTGTGCTTGCTGTGTACAGCTAACAATAAATTAAATCATGTTATGATCACTGCTACCCAGATGTTCTTTTATTTGGACATTCGTAATAATCTCTGCATGGTTTGAGATTACCAGATCCAGCAGAGCATCATTCCTAGTTGAGGCCTCTATGAATGGTACCATAAAATTTTGTCCTGTAGTAGATTTAAAGTTTTTGCCCTTTAACTGTTCCTGCAGTACCATTAGTCCTGTCAATTTCCAGGGTAGTTAAAATCCCCCATTATTATCACTGTCCTAGCCCTTGCAGCCCTTTTGATCTGTGCAAGGAGCTGAGTCTCCACCTGTTCATTAACACTGGGAGGCCTATAACAACCTCCAATGATTACCTTTTGTAGTACGCACCCCCATGTTCAGTTCCACCCATAATACTTCAGCCTCATCACTCTCCATCAACTAGGTCCTCTTTCACACTCGCTCTGAAATCACTTCTCACATAGAGACGGACACCACCACCTTTCCTATTTTTATTCTGTCTCTCCCAAAAGAGAACATAGCCAGGAATATTAATGGCGCAGTCATGTGAAGAATGAAGCCAAGATTCCGCAATACCAATTAAATCATAGTTCTCTTCATGCACCAAAGCTTCCAACTCGCCTATTTTGCTTGGCAGACTTCTGGCATTGGTGAACAAACACTTTAATCCATTGACACCTTGTTCACACGTATTTTACATATTTTTTATTTTCATACAAATGGTACCAATTCCACTGGTTGTTTGTAACATGGCAACCTTCTTATCTGCCATAGCCCTCCCCCCATCTTTCTGCATTCCACCCACCAATAATTACTGACCCCTGTCTGATCTGTCTACCCCGTTATAATCTAATTCTCCCTCCCCCCTCAATCCTAGTTTAAATACTCCTCCAGCCTTCCCATAAACCTCTCCCCCAGCACTGCAGACCCCCTTCCATTTAGGTGCAAACCATCTCTAGCATATAGGTTGCACCCCAATGAAAAGTCAGCGCAGTGCTCTAGAAACCCTAATCATTCCCTTTTACACCAGTTCTTCAGCCATGCTTTGAGTTCTCTAATCTCCACCTGTCTTTCCTGATTTGCTCAGGTAATATTTCACAGAATATCACCTTGGAGGTAATTCCCTTCAACATGAAGCCTAGTTCTTTAAATTGATTCTTAAGGAGCCTCCACCTTCCATGTATTCTGTCATTGGTTCCAACATGGACCAAGACATCTGGGTCATGCCCAGCCCCTCCCAGTAATTTATCAACCCGGTTCACCACATGCCGAACCCTGGCACAGGGAGACAGCAAACCATTTCGTTGAGGCGATCCTGGCGACAAATTATTCTATCAGTGCTTCTGGTCATAGAATCCCCTACTACCACCAGCTGTCTACGCCTACCTGCACTACTCTCACCACCCCTACCAGATGGTCTGCCCTCCCGGCTGTTAGTTATAGCATTGACATCCAGGGCTGCCACCCCTGAGCTTGTCACCCCCACATCTTCATACAACTTGTCAAATCTGTTTGGGTGCACAAACCCAGGGCCAGCCTTCCTTTTCTGTGAGCCCCTACCATTCCCTCTTGCTACAGTAACCCATCTTCCTACCTGATAATCCTGATTAGCCCCTCCGCCCTCCACATTCAAGGTTGTTGGTTCTGCCCAGTGTTGCAACTTGTTCCTCCAGATCTCTGACACGAGTTTGCAGAAGGGCAACCCACTCACATCTGTCGCAGCGGTATCCATCCTGGAGCTGTTGTTTCATTACCAAAAGAACCCATTCAGTTTAAAATGGGAATGGAAGAAAAAAAATGTGTATACATATAAGAAACATTATAAATCCATTTTTTATGAGAGCTGGGGAGGAGAAGCAATATTACAATGAACTTCCCAGTGGATGTATGTGGGGCCTGGTGGGTGGGTGAGGGGGGGGGGGGGGGGGTTGTCGAAAATGCAGCACAAACCTGATCACTGGATTAGCTCCCAGCATAGCTATGAAACTGAGGGCAGTTTATAATAGGAGAGCAGAGGGACTTGCAGGTGCACCAGGTATTTTGTACAGGAAGCTAAACAGAGAACAGGATACTTCTTCATACAAGTACTGTATATGGTACAGCAGGCACATCAGGAATATGAAATGTTCCACTTACATATTCCTAATGCTTTCAGTTGTTTTTGCTTTTAGAAGCTGCTTCTGTTTTTCTGCAGCACACATGAAAAGATAGGAGCAGGCTCAACCAAAATGCTGCTTCAGAAACCAATAAATTAATTTTTTTTGGATGCTACTAATATTGTCTGAATTCTATAATATTTTCTGTATTCACGTTCTATACTTTTGTTTTTATGTTTTATGCATTGGGGAATTTGGGGAATGATGAAGGTGTTAAGGCAATTTTACAGGGTGTAGAAGTTCAAGGAGGACCTTATTGGAGGGATGATAAACAGGTGGTGGCACAGAGGGGACTCTGGAAACTGCAGGCTCTAAATTGGGTGATGCACAAATGTGTAATTTACCAGATTGACTGAGCAAAATTACAAATATTTGACAGATATAATGGTTCCCGTAAATGCATTTTATTGGTGCGTTGAAGTGTTTGGCTAGAGTTCCTCTTAAGAAGGTAAACAGTTTAGTGACAGTTGCGTTAAGCGCTGTTGATATTGTGTATTACATGTACTAGAATCACAGTTTTATTGTATAAGACAATATTGTGGTATGCAAGCTGTGAATAGATCAGAGTAAATAGTTTAGAGATGGGAAAAATTATAGCTTCTCATTTTCCATTTCTGGAGGAGATGAGGCATTCCTCAGATCTGATAATCCAGATTGTCTCGTCTAGTTTTTATTAAAGTTTCCAAAACATATATAATTTATAAGCCTATTCTAAAAGAATGCCAGTTTTCATCCAATGAAATCGTATTCAGACACATCAAGGTAAGAAAGGGACATAAACTGAATAATATTTAATAAAACAGAGTACAGGATATATAACAATTGCATTTTTTTTTTTTTTTTTGCATTTTTAAAGATAAGTTCTACTTGTATTGAAAATATACTTTTTAATCCAGTATAATTTTAGAAAATGTGAGAACAATATGTATGTGTAAATAGACTTTTCCATTTATGACCATGTCTGATTTAAAGTCGTCATATTTGCTTTCTCTGCGTTCTCCCACTTTTTCCCTGCTATGTTGGAATCTTTGGGAAATAATCAGTTCTTCTGTTTATGGAGCTTGGTCCTCAGCGGCTAATCACCAGACCAATACACGGTCACATGAGGGGGAGGTTGTCATCAGACCCCTGTAAGCTCTGAGACCATATGCCACAGAGTTTGGGGTTTGGATTCCCAGCTCTGATGGAGAAACAGAAGTGGGTAAGCACAGTCAACGTAAGTATAATTGCATCTGAGAGGGAACATTCTGAATGGGCAAGCTGACAGTCTCTGTAATGGTTACACTGGTTTTATTTATTTTACTCCCATGTACATGATATGAGTTAAAATGTGACTACACAGTGCTGTAGTTGAAAAAGTATAATTTAGGGAAGATGCTGTATCCCTGATGTAAAGAAAACATTTACTTTTTTTGCCTAGTACGGACACAGTTGATCATGTGATGTGGTAAAAGGCCAATCACAGCGGCCTTTTACCACGTGATCAGCGGTGTCCAATGACACGCTGATCACAGGGAAATGCAATTGCCGGTTCTCGGCTACACTTTCCTCACGCTGTCAGATCGTGAGGAAAGTACTGCCGAGAACCGGCAGTTGTCAGAGCGAGGATCGGCACCGATCATCAGGGCACTAATGATCAGTGCCCTGATGATCGGTGCCCAGCAGTGCCACCCACAAGTTCCGCCCACCTGTGCCCAGCAGTGCGCCCACTAGCTCCGCCCACACTGTGCCCAGCAGTGCACCCACCTGTGCCCAGCAATGCACCCACCTGTGCCACTCTGCAGTGTCACACACCTGTGCCCACCCACCAGTGCTGCCCACCAGTGCAGCCCAGCAGTGCCACCCACCAGTGCCCAGCGGTTGTGCCAGTCAGTGCCGGCAGTCAGTGCCCAGCAGTGATGCCAGTCGGTGCCGTCTATCAGTACCCGCACATCAGTGAAGGAGAAAAATTACCTGTTTGAAAAATTTTATAATAGAAACAAAGAAACTTTTTTTTTTTTTTTCTTCAAATTTTTTGCACTTTTTTTGTTTATAGCGCAAAAAGTAAAGCGCCCAGTGGCGATTAAATACCACCAAAAGAAAGCTCTATTTGTGAGAAAAAAATGATCAAAATTTCATATGGGTACAATGTTGCATGACCGCGCAATTGTCAATCAAAGTGCGGCAGCGCTGAAAGCTGAAAATTGGCATGGTAAATAAGGGGGTATAAGTGCCTGGTAGGCAAGTGGTTAATCACAAAACTTTTATTTTTTTTATTATTATTATTATTTTGACCTGTCAGTCTCTTTCATGCAAAGTGAACAAGACATTTGAACTTTATTGCTCATAATGACCAATAAAAATTTCTTGTTTTTATCTTTCCATGAACTAAATGGCGAAACCATTACTTGCTGTTGGCAATTTTTCGTCCCCTCCACATTTTTCTGTTTTCATATACCAGTGTCGGTGTTCTTCAAAGAGTCTTTGGGCTCATAGGGCATCCAGTATCATTTCAATGCTTTCATAGTTACTGTTTTATAGGCCTATGTGTTATACATTAGATAAAAATCTATATATTTGTTCTTTATACATAGTGTTGCACTGGAAACTGCCTGTCCTGTGACCAGCAATGTGGACGTACCCTGGGATGCAGAAATCACAAGTGTCCTTCAGTGTGCCACAGAGGTAAGACAGGATACAAAGGGAAAATGCATGTTTGGTCTTTAGGTAATTTTTACTTATTTGCTAAGAGCTGAGATATTTCTGGAGAACATTACAGAGCGCATCAAAATATTTAGATCAATCAGGACCATATTCTCTAATATCCTTATTACCACCATGTGTGCATGCAATAAGTCCAGTTTAGGTGGATGACAGTAAAACTAATAGTATGTTTTTTGGGTAATGAGGGGAACTGCTCCTTGAGGAAACCCAAACAGACATGGGGAGGAACTGCGGGATAAACAAGTATATCATCTTCTTGGTAAACCTAGAATCTTTGTACTTCAAGGCAAGAGTCCTAAACCCTTATTGGCCACACAGCTTGGTTCATAGGGGTCCACAGCTTTTGTTTTCATTCAAGAAATTAAAGCTGGTTCTCCAAATTCTCCTTGACTGGGAGATACCGCAGACATTGGTGGTAAGTCAGCTTTATCCTGTTTCTTGCTCTTGTACCTTAAAGGTAAACATTGAGCATGCAGTTGCAGCGAGCATCAGGAGCAGTTTGGTTGTGACACTTTTTTTTTTTATGTTTTACAAAAAAAAAAGTTTTAATTGACTCAGTCGGAAATTTTTTTTCTAATTTGCTGTCCTTTTTTCTTGACATTGCTGGGACTTGGGTGGGAGAGCTACTGCTCCTGCGAAGCCTCTTGTTCATTGGGCGTACTATGCATATGCGCACAGTTTGCAGGTATCTGAAGAGTCCTCTTCTCTTGCCTCTCTAGCTGCATATAGTACAGTGATCCTGTATCAGACATAAGTGGAGTGGGTCAGCAGGCCATTCCAACTCATGGTCAGCTCAGGGAAGATGTACAGTATTTAAAGTGGTTTTAAAGGCAGAAGGGTTTTTTTTTTTTTTTTTTTTTCTTCCATAATATTTCTATTGACATTTTATGAAAAGTATAAATCTTTCCTCCCCACATGACCCTTCCCCTGACTTCCCTATCTAGATCAATGGCACAACCCATCAACCTGTCTCCGCATGCCAGGGTGCTAGGTGCAATCCTGGACTCTCCTTTTGGCCCTACATCCAATCACTCCTCTCCAAAGCTTGCCGTCTCAACCTCCACAACATCTCCAAAATACACCCCTTCCTAACCAATGACACCACAAAGCTCCTAACTCACTCCCAGCTTATCTCTCGCTTTAAAGACTGCAACTCTCTTCTCATTGGCTTACCTTTTACATAGGCTATCCCCCCTCCAGTCTATTATGAATACTGCTTCCAGGCTCATCCACCTTACCCAACCGTTCTGTGTCTGCCACCGCTCTCGGCCAATCCCTGCATTGGCCGCCACTGCCCCAGCAAATCAAATTCGAAATACTAATAACTTCGAAGATCCCCTGCTCACTAGTTCCCTTGTCACCTCCTCCCATGCTCTCCTCGAGGACTTCTCCCGAGCCTCTCCCATCCTGTGGAATTCCCTTCCCCAGTCTGTCCAACTATACTCTGTCCACTTTTAGGTGATCCCTGAAAACGTTTCTCTTTAGACAAGGTTATCCTGCCTCCACCCAACAAATGTACATACATTTTCTCCATCAGCTCATCCCCCAAAGTTATTAGCTTTTGTATCACTTGACCCTCCCCTTTTAGATTGCAAGTGCTAACGAGGATGGCCCTCTCATTCCTCCATTATTGAATTGTATTATAACTGTACTGTTTGCACAGCATTTTACAACATGAGGGCAAACTGTTGATGTTATATAAATCCTGTTTTATTATAATAGCAAAAAATATTTTAGTACATCCAAGACCGGACAAATCTATTCTGAAAGCTTTAAACATTCTGTATTCTATGATGGCTTACCTGTCATATTCTGTTCATGCCTCCCCATTTTGTCTCTGGAACAGGGTGACCCCCCCCCCCCCCTTCTTCATGAATACTAAAATTGGCCATACATGGATAATGGAATACTGACTAATCGGAAATACTGAAAGGATTCCCCCATCCACACAAGCGAGGTGGAGGGAGGAATCCTCCCCGCTGTCTTGTACTCTTGACAGTGAGGACACCTCTGCTGTCAGAATATAGTGATCAGTACTTGAGCACTGATTGATAGACTTCTCTGGAAAGGAAACAGCCATAGATAGACCGAAATTTGTCTGGTCCCTGCTGAAACAGCTGAATTTAGATACATCTATGGCCAACCTACATTTCTTCACAGATCATGAATTGAGGGTTGTTTTTTACCAACTGAATGTATGTAAGCCAGATATGCTGTGTGGGGATTATTATTAAAACAGGATTCCAACAGATGTTGGCATTTTGGGTGGAGTAGTTTGATCTTCTGTTGATTAGATCTCAGTTTCACAATCTGGCTTCTGACAGGCCAATCGCATCATTTCAGCCAAGAGTAAAAACATTTATCAACTCTTACCCAATAGCTGCAATGTTTTTGAGGAACAACACATTTTTTTAAAGCAGTGTTCATGAAGAACAGCCTGCAAGTTTTAGTGATTTCTAAAATCTGTATCTCTATTTATTTATGAACCTGTTAACACATTTGTATAGCTGATTGTGCTAGTACCACACAGCGCCGCAGTAATCAAAACAAGAAACAAATCAAGCATATATACAGCAGCCAAGGTTTTACACTGCTAGCCTTAAAAGAAACATTGATTTTCTCATTTCTTTGAAGCATTCTTGAGTGAAATAATGCTCTGACCTTATTTATGGAACTGTCATTGATGGAAAGCCCAGCACTTTATATCACGATCATTTTAAAGGTTATGATGAACGCCAAGATTCTTTATGAGCTTTTCTGTGCCTTTTTGCTTTCATTTGCATTTCAAATAGAATGTAACTAATAATAGGATCTATTCTAAAGGTCACTCGGATGAACGCCCTGATAAAACACAAAATGAAACTCTTACTGTCTGTGGTATTTTTCCAAGATTGAGTTTCTGATCACTCACTAACTGATGTTCCTCTGATCAGATTAAAAACTTGCAGACAGAAAATGGCAGATTGCTTTATAAGTTTACAGCCGCTCTGCAGTCCAAGGTTATCGTTCGGCCCTGCATCTTCATGTACTCGATATTACTGCATAGCAGCAAATGTTTAGTATCTATAAAATTTTAGTTGCCGATTTTATTATAAAATAAAAGAATAGTTATGTGAAACTCTAAGTCTGATAAGTTGAAAAGGATATGTACTCTCCTAAAACCTTGAAATAAATGTATATTAAATGTAAAGAGTTTGCTACAGCAATACGATTTTATGCTTAACTTTATATTCTAACCTTCACTATGGAAACTACAGCTGATGAAACTAACCTGAAATTTCCTTTCCACTGTGTATTAGTATTCAAGCTATTTGGACCTCCAGGGCTTATGTTTACAGTGGTGAATTTCTCTAAAATGTAGGAGGACTAAACTGGGAGCTGTGCCCAGAAAAAACAATCAGGGGGTGAATGGCTTGTCACCAGTTCTAGCTATTGTCTCCCTGCAGCTTTGCTAGTGGCATCCATCTTGGTAGAGGAGCAGAGCTTTGCTTCTACATATGAGAGCTTCCACCCATGTGACTGGTGATCTAATGAGAAAAGGGAAGGGGCAGTATTCAAAAATAGTGCAGTTCAGAAAGTACAAATTAACAGAATTAAAGTGATTGCTTGTAAACCCTCACCTTGTAAAACCGCTCATTCGGTCAAAACATTTGTGTATAGATATAAAAAAAAAGGAAAGATAAAGAGGTATTTATAATAGGCGATCACAATCCTACTGTTCTCAGCTATGTAAGAGCTAGGAGAGCAAAAACAACAGTGCACTGAGCTTCACAGTAAAAGGGTGTGTGTGGTGTCAGGACAAGTCTGATCATTGGAGGAGAGCAGGCTGTGAGTTCCCAGCATAGCTAGAAAACTGGCCACTGTGTGTCCTCCTGCTTAGTGTGGTCAGTTTTTTTAAGCAGGCAGATATCAAAAATATGAAATGCTGGGTTTACATATTCTTTATTATAACAGCAGCATGGAGATCCTTGCCCTGCAGTTCCTCAGATACATCCTTCAGCAAGGGGAACAGTGAGCTGCACTGAAGTGACATCAATAAACTATACTCAAAATTTCATGAGAATAGCAGTCAGGGGCAGAAGTGCAGTAGGCAATGTCACACTGCACAAATACAGCTATAAGACTTGAAGCACAGGAAGTGCACAGCTATATTTTAGGAGGAAATCCAGGCAGAGTACTATTTTTTTCAGGGCAATGCTTAGGCACAGTTAAAATTTCAGTATAAGATGGCAAATCTATATTTCTTTGCTTTTTGAGCTTAGGTCTAATTTAAAGAACTACGTTTGTAAAAAATATATTCTATTCTGTTAACTGTATTTAAAGTGGTTGTAAAAAAAAATGCTCCCGTTCCTTTAACCACTTGCCCTCCTGAGGATTTCCCCCTTCCTTTCCAGGCCATTTGTTGCGTTACTTTAATTGACAATTGCGCAGTTATGCAACACTGCACCTAAATGAAATTTATGTCCTTTTTTTTTTTTCCCCACAAGAATTGAGCTTTCTTTTGGTGGTATTTGATCACCTGTGCTTTTTTTTATTTTTTTTTTTTTGCGTTATAAAAAAAACAAAGCGACAATTTTGAGATATTTTTGACTTTTTGCTATTAAACCTGTCCAGTAAAAAAAAAATTAAAACCAAATTTTGTCATAAATTTAGGCCAAAATGTATTCTGCGACATGTCTTTGCTGAAAAAAACAACCCTAATACGTGTAAATTACCTGGTTGGTTTACTTGAAAGTTTTTTAGCGTTTACAAATGTCGGTATAGATACTGGATTTTTTTTTTAATTTTTACTACTAATGGCAGTTATCAACGACTTGCAGCAAGACTGCGGCAGGCATTGTGACACGGGGGAACTGACTTGGGGTCACTGACATCCCCAATGACACCAATACAGTGATCAGTGCTAATAAAAAGCACTGACACTGTACTAATGGCACTGGGTAGGAAAGGGTTAACTGTGT